TACAAAACTATCACAATTAGACAGCTTACTCCACTTGTCTTTCTGACTATACAACAATAAGAAATACACAGTAGGTAACATGTTACCCATACACATACAAAGGTCTCTCCAGGAATACAAAACTATCACAATTAGACAGCTTACTCCACTTGTCTTTCTGACTATACAACAATAAGAAATACATGACAGGTAACATTTAATCCCCAACGAGTCTTTTAAACCACAAAAAACTCATAAATACACAGTAAATACAACTTACTTTACCAATACATGCACACTGGTCTTTCTAATTATACAACAATGAGAAATACAATGTGCTACCCTCACAGATATTATCTTTTCAACCACACAAAACTATCACAGCAAGTACAACTTACTCCACCAACACATATTCTGGTCTTTAACTATACAACACAAAATACACAACAGCCATACAAAACTATCATAATTACACAACAAGTATAGCCTACCCCCAATACTTCTGATGCTATACAACACATTCACAAATACAAAGCAAGTACAGCTTATCCCAAGCATGCTTCTAGCTACTTAACAATACCACAAATACACAAAATTTACAGCTTAATGCTAATGCCACAAACATTTTTACACCTAAACACTTATCACAACTACATAGCAATACAAGTCACACTTCCAGGCTTCAACAGCATTATCACAAATACACACAAATACCTTAATGACATAAAATACATAAACACACAACTTACCCCTCCATCAGCTATTTTCTATTTTTGTTTTTTGTACAATGGTATTCAGTATTACAGGAGATATCCATTGATCACATAGACATATGAAGGTACCATAATAACCATGTGAAATGTTCTTTTTTAAACCTAAAACTGCATGTGTACAAATACTACAGAAACATACAATGTTCCCTTCCTTATCTTAGTGTTGTTTCCACTATAGACAAGCAAAACTCAAGGAACCATTAAACCAGAGACCAAAATAATAAAGGACGAAACAATTTCATTTTATTGTAACTTAACAGGTATGAAAATAAAATCTACACATTAAGAACTTGAGAACTTGTTTACCTCATCTTTTTAGTTTAAAAAAATGACAACACTACTCTTGTCATGCACCTTCTTCTCAAGATAACGATATTAAGAATTTGAGAACCTGTTTACCTCATCTTTTTAGCTTAAAAAATGACAACACTACCCTTCTCATGCACATTCTTCTCAAGATAATGATATTAAGAATTTGAGAACCTGTTTACCTCATCTTTTTAGCTTAAAAAATGACAACACTACCCTTCTCAAGATAACAATATTAAGAATTTGAAAACCTGTTTACCTCATCTTTTTAGTTTACAAAAATGACAACACTGCCCTTCTCATGCACCTTCTTCTCAAGATAACGATATTAAGAATTTAAGAACTTGTTTACCTCATCTTTTTAGTTTAAAAGAATGACAACACTAACCCTCTCATGCACCTTCTTTTCAAAATAGTGATATTAAAAATTTGAAAACTTGTTTACCTCATCTTTTTAGTTTAAAAAAATGACAACACTACCCCTCTCATGCACCTTCTTTTCAAGATACAGTGATATCTTGAAAGCTAAACTAATTTTTTATTTCAGCAAATATACAATATATTATAAAATATGGCAATTACTATGGGTTTTAAAATATGTATATGTTATTTTCTGTTTCGTCCAAAACAGCTTCACATTACATATACAATATACACCACATACTAAATGCATAAACTCACATGCATACATGCATGCAGTGGAAACATACATTTTGATTTTTGTCCGTACCTGCCCTTTTCACTAATTATAAAAAACATGACAGAAAATAATACTAGCCTCATAGCCTCTTCAAGGTTCTTTTCTTATCTTTCATAAGTTTGAGATTCTTTTTATCTGATAATGTTTTACTTTTCTCAGTAGCATGCTTTTTAGCCAAAGGACCTCCAACACCCTTGAATATGGTGCCTACTGATGAAGATGTTGGATCCATCTCGAGGCCTTCTTTTGCAAATTTAGGAGGGTGAGCATGAATCTCAGTCATCATCTTAGCTCGCTGACAGTAATCATCATACCTTTCCAATAAAAGTTTTCCTGCCTCTTCATTTAACGCTGATTCCGGGTTTGGAACAATGAGAAGGCATTTTACTGTCTAACAAGAAAAGTTTATTATACAAAAGCTATTTTTAAGTCTAATTCTAAAATATCAAAATTTAAATTTTTTATATCATTTTAAATATTAACATTATTAATTTTAACCTTTATTTTTTATTTTCTTTACAAATGTTCACTATTTGTAAAAACGTCTTACTCTTAAAATCTGAATATTAAATTAGTCTAATATCTATATCTGGAGCATTCTCAAAAATTATCGGTGCAACTCTTAAAAATGTTCCACATTTTATTTTTACATTAATAATTTATTAAGTTTCCTTTCTGGTAACATCCTTTTGGAAACTATCTAGTTCAGGGGGTCAACAACCTGCGGCTCTTTAAGGAAATTTGTGCAGCTCTTGTGCTTTACTCTCACAGTGAAGAAAAGTTCAGGATCTTTCAGGTACAATGGATGCTAAAAATTTAATCTCAACATTCGCAATTTTATATATAGAATAGAATCATGCCGTTAACATTCTAGCTAATTCCTAAAATGCCTTAGAAGGCGGACCCCTGATTTAGCATTATAAATCCAAAGACTTACCGCTGTCCCCCTTTTTTTTAGGTTAGACAGTTTGGGCATACAGCAGTTCTCAAAATGTTTTGGACTTAGATAAAAACGAAAAAATGGCTCTTCTTATTTGAATGATTTCCAACCCCTGGCCTAGTCTAATAATTTGCCAATATGATTTTTAACATAATAAATAACAAAGAAAGTGGTATAATTTGTTATACAAATTTAGTTTTTTTTTCTGATCTTCTCACCCAAGAAAAAAATATTCAGACCGAACCAAAAACAAAAATGATGAAACTCAATCAATTGTTATCATACATGTAACCCTTTAGATATGGGAAGAGAGGACACTTGGACAATTTTAAAGACTAACACGATAAAAAAAATATATATATATGAAAACTATTTTTAAATCAAAAATCTGATACATGAAAAATCTGCCAAGTTAAATCATAAAATATTAAATTTCATACTAGAAGTTTTAAACAAAATAAAAGAATTATGAGGTATGATTTCTTTGTTAAAACACAAGGTTATAAAAATATTGAAATTGACTGATGTTAGATGTAAACTTGTACTTAATGTATAGAAGTTTACAAAATAATTAAGATTTTTAGTAATAAAAAGTTGTTCAGAATATACATTTTCTAGAATAATGAAAGCAGTCATATATATATATTACACTTTACATGCATGTCGAATAGTTTTTATATCAGTATAGCATTTGATGTTACCCCGAAATGTTTAGCTCTTTTGTTACTTTAGGAATCCATTATGTTATGAAAGTAATATTAAGCCACAGTATTATTATCCAATATTATAACTTAAAAGAAATGGTGTGACATAAAATAAAGGATAAGCTACTTTAACTTTAGCATTTGGCAAAATCTACAAGAATTGTTAATTGATTCAGATGTCAATACTCGGGTGAAGATGTGTATGGTGAGGCTGTCACAACTGTGCTTCATGCACGTCACTAATTTCAACAAACAGTACATCTCTTCCCAAAAAATAAGTATTTGTGCCTTGAAATTCATAAACTGTACAAGTGAACCAGCTTTAATTTATATATACAAATGAGCAAGTAAAATTACAATGTTATTCTTTTAAAAATTCTTCAATAAATGCAACGTATTGCCGTTCATTTCTCAAGTTTTGGATAATGCACTTTTCTCAATCCTAATGCAAGAATTTATCTTTCTTTTATGCATCCAACAAAAATTTTGATTCATGTAAAATCCTGAATTATGTCATATCTATCTTGACACTCCTTGAACATATGTCACAGCCTAACCATCATGTTCTGCTGCATGAAAGTGTCAAACGACACACACAAGATACAGATTAGCAGTGTCCACGTGTAGATGCAAGATGCTGTTATGTCATAAATTATGTAAATTTTGGGCACATATTTACAGACTGTTTAAGATGTTAAAACTGATGTGTGAAATAGTCAATACAATCATGCATGTGCAAGTTGCATGTAACAGTACTGGGATCTTGAAAGAACATTTAAAACACGTTAGATGGGTTTATAATATTTGTTATGCTGGACAAGACTGACTAGTTAGGATTAGTAGAAAAAAAAAATTCAGAAAATAATTTTGACAACAAATTCACAATAACTAGTTGTGTCTAATGAGGCACATGTGAATGAGCACTAAGTATACCTGTGAAGTCTACAGTATGTTATTTATAAATGTGGGCAATTTGGAATGGCTGGAATATGAGAAAATGTGCTTATAAAATGTATACATATTGGAACTTTGACTGTTGGTTACAAATTCTGAGGACTGATGAGAACTGTTTCACCCAGTGTTGAAGTGATAACCAAATAAAGACAATCTGAGCATCTCTGTGTAAAAGATTGTGTAGGAGTATTATATTGTTTGGCCTTCATTCTAAGACCTACCTTGTGAAGTGTCTGTACGTCTAAATGTCCTTGGGCATAAAAAGATCTTAAATGGATAATCCAATTGCAAAAGCAGTTGTTTTTAATCAATAAAAATGTTTTAGAATGGCCAACCCATGACCCAGACCTTAACCCAGTACACATCTATGGGTTTACAACATTAGAAGTTAAATAAAAAAAAGGTAAAATAACAGCTTTTTAGCTGTTTATTAACTGACCAAACCTTTGAAACAGCAATAAAGACCAATTTTATCAGACACCAGTCTGAATCCAGTTAAGATCATGCCTCACTTATTATCAGCAAATTTTCAGGCCAAAGACAGTAATATGCCACATTAAGACCTGTCTCTAATACATTATGGGCAAACAAGATTGTGTGTGTGTGTGTGTGTGTGTGTGTGTGTGTGTGTGTGTACAGAACTCCACCCACAGTGAGCCTTCTTGTCTTCTTAAGTAGAATATTATTACAGTGCTAAAGTATATGTTTAATTAAGAAACAGTAATATTCACTTTTATATGAAGTGTTTAAAATAGTAATTTATCATGCATTCCAATTTAAGATGTTATTTATTTGATTTATAAAATTGAAAAACAATTCCTTGACTTTGTAACATTTATTTCAGTAACAAATCTTGTGATTTTTTTGAAATGACCAAATTTCTTCACTTGGCTTTCATGGCTTGATAACCATAATCACATTAACTTCAAAATTTCCAATGCTAAGCTTTCTCTTTCATCACAATGAACATTGCTAAACAATTATTAATTTTTTAATGCAATCACGGCTATCTGCCTTTGTTGAAAGCTTAACCTTCTCATGTTAAAAAAAAGCAGTCATTTATTAAAATTAAGACTTTTGACCAAACAAGACAAATGATAGATGAATAGCTCAAAAGCTTGGAAAATTAATTTTAACACACTCAATGGTGTCAGTCCATTCTATGAAGCAATACACAGTAATGTTAGTTATAATTATTAATTTACTAAACATATCTTTATAAACATTGGCAAGGATTTAGTAAACATTATAAGCCTATCATACACAAACAAAAAGATTTTCTAAGAAATATTTCTACTAAAGATTTGCTTGTGAATTTACAAAGCCTTTACTGAGTCGGTTTGAATGAAAGGTGATTTTCATAAAAATATTTGTTTTGATCTTACACTTTTCATACTTCATTTGCATAACCTCTAGCCTCCTGAATGAATATCAAAAGTTTTTATAGTAAAACTTCATATTAAATGTTTTCTACCATTAGAGGGGAACAAAAATAAAAACACAAAATAAAATTAATAATACCCCTTTTCTTTCTAGAATAACTGCATATTATAACAGATAATTGCATTCACTTATCATAACAACCTCAGCTATCTAACCTTTTCTCATGTGCTTGCTTGTAATATTATTATTTTATAATGCCCTTTAGACCCTATCTGAGTAAATGGCAGGCAATTAACCACAGCAGCAGAACACAGTATAAACAATTGATAGTTACAATCGTGTAATGAAGTTAGCTCAAGCTGGTCTGAAGAAATTATTAAATCTTTTTGTTTCATTTACTTTTTAATCTAACGTAATAACATTTAATTTGGACACTAAGGTTGCTTTTGTTAAAAAGTATATAACAATAAATAAAAAGGATACATAAAAACAATAACTTTTAGATTTATGCTAGAGTTAAAGCTTATTTCTGTAATATTTACTCAGAAAATAAATGCTTTTCCTTCAAGATTGGCTGCAGATTATAACAGGCAATTACAATTATTTATCAAAACTGCCACAACTATCTTACCTTTTTACATATGCTTACTTTTAATTTTATTATTTTACAATGTCCTTCATATCCCACCCAACCACAGCAAGATTATGTACTGTAATTTATACTCAAAATGATACTTCTTCAGCACTAGTTTTTCATACTATTTTTGGTTCTCCACAACACCTTTAATGTTCTTTCCTTTCAAATAGGCATTTTAGAACACAAAAAAATATATCAGGTACTAGAATAGAATGTCCCAAAACTAGTGTAAACTGGCTTTCTAACTAAGCTATAAGTATGTTAGAAGATCTCTGCTATCTGCTCAGAGCAGAAAAACATGAACACAAACAATGAAACTGACGCTAAATATCTACCTAGACATTTTTTGAAAGACATAATTATATCCAAAGCAAATATGGTAAACTCTGATTGATGCACAGTGCATTGACTTTTTAAGATCACACTCATATATTAACAATAACATGTGACTCTTGAACCCTGTCGCACATGATTAAACTTGCATTTGCATTTTAGTTCTTCAAACATGCTTGCCAGCAGAAATTGAAACAGTCTCAGGTTTTGTGAGGCAAGAAATTCAAAATGGCTAACACAAAATATAAACAAACTTGAATCTAATAACCAATTTTTTGTGTTTGTTTCTTAGATGTATTTTAAATTAAGTCAGTTATTTCATAGGGAATTTTTTTATTTAAACTAAAATTTCGGGACTTTTCCAGGACCATGATTTAAATACAGCTGTTTATCTAGGGTCTCCAGTATTGATATTTATAGAGCTCATTTTTCTATGACTTCCTAGGATTTTAAAGACCTACTCAAATCATGTTATGTAGTTTTTTTACAGAAATTTTGATATACACAGTAAAACATCATCTTACTTTAGCTTTCTAAGTATTTAATAAATTGTTTCAATTAGAATTAAGATGACTTTGAATTTTTATGGGTAAGCTTAAAGAACATTTATGCCCATCAAACATAGTTTCTTTTGTGAGGCTGATCAATTTTTATCATTGCTGCCAACACAACTGAACAAATCAGGAACAATTTCTGGGGTTGCTTGCTAGTTACTTGGGCAAATAGTAAGCTATAAATTTATTTGATTATCAAACTATAGCAAATTAAAAACCTAATACTTACTAACAAGATATGTTTCAGTCCAAGCTCAGATTTCCAATCTTTTTTCAGAGTATTGACACATATTTCACCATTTTTTGCTACATTAGGATGAAATATTTTGGTCATAAAATAACCTTTAGGTGGGCCTGTTGGAAAGTCTTTGCCAAGCACCAACTTCACACGAAACGAACCACCAGCATATGGGGTCCCAGCTGTGTTTGACAAATGAAAATGTTAATACATAATCACAATATAAAAATGATGAGCAATATATACATAGCATCTCTTCAAAGCTAAAGCAGAAAATGAATTGCAAAAAATAAACCAATTAGTTTTTGTGTCATGTTCTGACATGATTATTTTATATCTCTGCTCTTGCCTTAGTTTTTTGCTAACCAAGGTGTCACTGTTCATTACTGTTAAAACTGTTGATCATCTGAAGCTTGTAATATGAATGATCCAATATTAAAACAAACATGAAAAATATATCTCAATTAAAAAAAAAAACTGTTCACATTACTATATTTATATAAATTAGCACCTTTTATGATCTGAGCATTCTACAGAATTAGAAGACAGCAACAGGCGAGTTATAAGCTATTAGTTTCATTTTCTCCAGCTGATGTATTAAATTATTTATATTTTACTGAATATTTTTACTTATACTTTTCTTGAAAATGAAATTTTAAAACCTTTATTTCTTCAGAAGAGACCAATAGTAGAGTTAAAGAGAGCTGACTATCTAGCATCAAAACCATTCAGTTGCTATCCACTAGTCTTCTGAGTAATATTCTTGATAACCAAATTTTTTTATTGCTACCTAACTAAGGATTCATCTAAACATCTAAATTTAACACAATCAACGTTATAATTTTCCTATACTGGAAATGTATTTCTGATACGTACTTATCTCCTCTCAATAAATAGCTATTCTTGTTCAGTGTTGCCCTCTATATGCAAAATTTTTTTGTGCATGCCAGTAGCCTTGAAACTCCCACCCATTTGGAATTGACTGCATCCAATGCGTCTTGCATGCAAATAATCATGCGACAATCCTCCACCAATAAGAGTGCGACATATTCTCTTGATGTATGTGACTCCACCTATTCAATTCTACCAAACTATTACTTCGAGTTCTGGGAGAAAATGGAAGCACCATTTTTCAGTGGGGAGGAAGGGTGGGAAGCACCTATCGAAAATACATTTTCAGTATAGGATAATTATAACTTCAATATGGTACATTACCTCCACTCACATAAATAGCTAGAAGCGTCTAAAGGGCACTCCCAAAGAGGAGTTCTTCGGAGTCAAAGATCATACGTGGGAGACCACACCACTTCTATACTAGGTATACTCTTTGCCCAGTGTGGAAAAAGGTGTCGCAGATATATAGAGAAATAGGGAGTAGCACATCCAATAGGGATAGAACTATGGTTGGATAGGGATCCAAACCACACGATATATGATTCTAGGAGTAGAGTGGCTAGGGTGCGACAGACCATACATAGCAAGTCAACTACAATCCAAAACCCAGCCACCAGGAACCAACATCCATGTGGGGGTAGGAAAGAGGATCATATCAGTGGCAAGTCAACTACAATCCAAAACCCAGCCATCTGGTGGAGGAAGGAAAAAGGATCATACTTTCTTCATCTCAAGTTCATCAGACCAGAGGGAATCTCATACTCCCGACCCATAAATGGGACACATGATAAAAATGTGAGAAACTGATTGATTGATCCGGGAACCCAACATCAGGCATTGAAAAGGTGTCTGCGTAATGTAAACTATCTCACTGAAAATTTAAATGACAGG